GTATGTACGTACGTATGTGTGTCTGTACGTCTGTCTGTGTGCTATATGTCAGTATGCTATATGATATGTACGTTTGCAACATGATATGATATGATGTGATGGGATTTGATACTAACTTTAATATGACATTACCTGACGTGATGCCACATGGTATGATGCGATATGAAATAACCCTACAAAAGCCCATAAGCCCTAAACCCCAAACTCTAAAACCCTAAACCCTAGGCCCTAAACCCGTAAACCCTAAAACCCTAAATCCGTAAAACCCTAAAACCCTAAAACCCTCACCCTAAACCCTAAAATCCTAAGCCCTAAACCCTAAAACCATGACCCCTAAACCCTAAAATCCTGAACCCTAACTAAACCCTAAACCCTAAACCCGTAAACCCTAAACCCTAAAACCCTAGACCCTAAACCCTAAAACCCTAAACCCGTAAAACCTTAAAAGCCTAAAACCCTGACCCTAAACCCTAAAACCCTAAAACCCTAATACCCTGATACCCTAAACCCGAAAACCCTGAACCCTAATTAAACCCTAAACCCTAACCCCTGAAAAACCTCAACCGTAAACCCCAAAGCCCTGAACCCTAAACCCTAAACCGATAAAAGCCTAAACCCTAAAAGCCCTAAAGCCGCCGATGCTTAACCCCAGAAGCTCCCGCCTCGCGGCTTCTCGGAGCTTCTGAAGCCGACCTACCAAAAGGGCCCGAGTCGCCAAAGCACGCACCTCAGGCAAAGAAGGCTTCCGGGCTCTTCGGCAGATCTTGCCGAAGCTTTTGGACTTCTAAGGGCTCCTTTGAGAAATCGTTAGGGGTTTCCACATCTAAGTGTTCTAAGTTCGATTCGTTAAGATGTCTCGTGGCCTTATTGTTAAGCCTTCGGGCAAAGGAAGCCTGGCCCTCAAATGCATCAGAACTGCGAAGCTGTTGCTGCCAAGTGATTTGGGGAGTTCAGGCTTGCAGACGAGTGGGTTTAGGGCAAGGCATTATGGAGGCCGTGACAATTTAGACTCGAGACTACCAACAGCTTGGGGAAGCCCGAGGAGGCTTAGTACGAAGTAGGCCCTTCTATGTATTCAGCAAAGGGACTGCTTGTGCTGCACGGATGGCGGAGAGGAACCTGCCAGCATCTTCGAATGTCTACAGCCTAATAGGCGGCCAAGGCTTGACATCCATTTTGATTTCGGTTTTGGCATTGGTGCTTCAGGGCTGTAGGGTGTGTGAGGGGCTCGGGATATGAATCAGGAGTTGGCCTGCGGCCTTGAGGATGTCGAGCCACTGGCATTCGTGCTTGCAGGACAGCCAGGACATCTTCAGAGGGGCCCTGCGGGTATCTGTCTCTGAAACCCGCATACAGCGATAAGATCTTGAGCCTAAGGAGTCCACGTAGAAGTTCGCAGCTTCAGCAAATCAAAGACCCCCAAATCTTCAATAGTAGGGTAGGGTAGGATATAGACCTCTAAATGCCCCAATCGAGATCTCGGGGACTCCCAATTGAACCCTCCCGGGGACCTCGGGAAATAGTTGCAGAGCCGCACAGCATGGCCTGCTCTGACCCACCTGGCTTAGGGTGCTCTGGGGCTTGGGGTTGATTCACAAGTTCCGCGGTTTAGAGTCTGTGGCTTTTGGGGGATATGGATTTCGGGCGTAGGGATGCTTCGAGGGCTCCGGGGCACTTGCAGAGGGGCTTAGGTTGCACGCTTCTGGCTCTAGGATCGTAAGCCTTGAAAACCTCAGAGCCACCATAACCCAAACCCTGAATCCGCCCTTCGGCCACCTCTTTCGGACGATACCGCGGACGATCTGCTGCAGCTTCTCTGTGTCAGGCTTGGCGCCTGCTTCTTGGCGTTGCACCGGGATGTTGGAGTTTCTCTTTCTCAAGTCCGAGGAACACACACACCGCAACCCAAAGCCTTGAAACTATGCCGACCCGGTCTGCACAACCTCTGTCCACCCCCGCCTTTGGAGCGGAGATCTTCCAGAGCCTTCAGCTGCCCAGCTTTCAGGAAGAGCCGGGACATTCCCAAAGCCCAGTCCTGCACCGGTAGGGCTGTGTAGTAGTATGGTGCTCAAAGCTATCAAAGGAACGTTAGTGGCACTGTGGCAGTTGCCCCGCCTCTTTCGGCACGTCGTAGGCCAGCATGAGTGCTTCGATGAAGGTGCGGTTCCCGTAACGCTGGAAACTGTCCGGCAGCAAGCTGCCTAAGCTCGCAGCTGCGGACAATTTGCAGAAGCCATGTATGGTGGTATGATGACGATGGTGATAACAGTCTGACGATGATGATGACGATGCTGATGATGGTAATGACGATGATGGTGATGATGACGGTGACGATGAGGATGATGATGATGATGGTGATGGTGATGGTGATGGTGGTGGTGGTGGTGGTGGTGGTGGTGAAGAAGAAGAAGATGATGATGATGATGACGGTGATGGTGATGGTGATGGTGACGACGATGATGATGATGATGATGACGATGGTGATGGTGATGGTGATGCTGATGAAGAAGAAGATGATGGTGATGATGATGATGATCATCATCATCATCATCACCATCATGATGATTATGATCATTATGATGATGGTGATGGTTATGATGATGGTGATGGTGATGGTGATGATGATTTGGAGGAGGAGGAGGAGGAGGACCACCACCAACAACATCAAAGCAAGCACCTCTGTTATCGTCGCGATCAGCATGAGCACAGGTTTCTGTTTGATTGGTCGGGGAATGAGAAGCCCGCGGGAACATTGGCAAGACTCAAGACACCGAATCCTGAAAGAGGAAGCCATCAAAATTCATGCAGACATCGGAAATCTCCCCCCGCGCACACTTTTCACCCACAAGTAACCGTGCTTCTTGTTTTGCGGGTGGGGGGGGGGGGGGGGGGAGCTGTGCCAAGTTGCGGAAACGAGATACCAGTTCGTCGAAGACACAGCGGTTGGGATACCTGTGCGGCTTCTTGTTTCATCGGTTATTCTCCCTTGGCATGAACTGCATCCGGAACGTTGGTTTAGGAACCCTGAACCCCGCATTTGGGTTCTAGTGATTCTTTTTTAATTGATTCTAGTGTTCTTCTCAGAGTGGCGTGGATTATTGGAATAGGATCATAGGATCTCGTGGTACAGGAACTCTCATCACGGAAACAACCTCAAGGAGCTAAGGATGAAAGATATTCGGGGTTTTGAAGTCGAGGATATAGAATGGTAAAGCGCCTCAACCCTTCAGTGCTCCTCCACACCCTTACATCTTGAACTTGGGGAGATTGGGCTGTTCAGGTCGTTCAGGTCAGGAGTGTTGGGGGGGGGGGGGGGGGNNGGGGTTGGGGTTTAGGGAGCTATCAGGCTTTTAAGGGTTTAGGGTTTAGGGGTTTAGGGGTTTAGGGAGATATCAGGCTGTTCTTTCTTGGCGATGCAGTTTTTTGGGTTCCTATCGGTGTAGGGTGAAGGACAGGACGTGAGTTCGACAGGGAGGCAACGGCGGAGATGCCACAAAACTCTGATGGATGAGAGAAGCCCGGAACCTAGCCCGGAAAACTAGAAGTTCGACCAGGCCACCCATCGTGCATGATCTTGACCAACTCAATGGTTCCACACCTCAAGGTCGGGTGGTGTGATTCAGGCTTTAGCGCTTCAGGGTTCACAAGTTCAAGGCTGACAGTTGGGCGGCTGGGATCTCAGGTCTCGACTGAACGATCTGGTCCAGCACCAGATTGTCGTTGAAGATGCTGCGCTTTTGGAGCTCGTTAGGCTTGAAGCAGCCTTCGCAAGCAGAAGCTTAAACCCTACAGGACTAACACTCAAAACCCTGAACCCAAAAGCCTAAGCCGGTCTGGGATTGGGGTTCTTGTCCAGGAGGCAAAGGCTTGTGTCCGCGCTTGGAAGGTAGGACTGTCGAAGGAACCAGGACCTGATGATTAAGCCTTCATCTCAGATGTCTAGGCGAGGGGCGTATGTAGTGCAGATGGCACTGGTTGAGCGTCTTCAGCAAGTTTTCCAAGTCGGCCGAATACTTCTTGCTGATGGAGCGGAAGAGCACCTGGCACTGGGGCGAGCTGCCTTACACGTCTCCCGCTTTCGCACTGCATGCCTTGATGCGCAACCGCCAAGTTGCCAACAATTCAAGCAGGCATCAAGTCCGAAACATAGTGTTTTGCTGTGCCGTTGCAAAGGCTACTTCTCGCTCACAAACCGCTTATGTACAAGATCCTTCTTGCTGCTTCGTGACTCAAGCTGACTGTACTCTCAGGCCACATCGCCACCCCCTGAACTTGCACTCCCAGACCCCGACCACGACCTCCAAGTCCTCGCAAACCCTGCACCACCAGCCAGCAACCCTGAACTGAACCCAAAATCCTTACACCCGCATGGGTTCAGAAACCCTAAAGGCACTGAACCACGCTTATGTAGTCCCAGTCTCCGCGCACGCAACTCCCAAACCCCACCCAAGACCAGTAGAAACTCCAACACAAAAACACACTGAGAACGCCAACCTCACTCTCAAGGAGTTCAACCGTGTGGAAATAAATTGGAAAACAACATGTACAACCGGAAACTTAGGCCGCCTTGCTCTTCTCGTCGTCTCCCAAGGTCCGTACAAAGTTGCACTCCGAGCCGCCTCGGTATCCCGGTCTAACAATCAGAACAAGGCCGCTTGGGGGACAAAATACATAAATGCAGTGGGAATCCTAATGAGCAATGTTGGTGGTCGCGTCTATACTAGATCATGTTCGCCCAATGCCCGACACAAACTGCAAACAAACCCGAGCAATAGAACAGATTGTAAATCCGAACTCACGCCAAGAACTGCAAGTGAGATTATAGACTCATCCCGGATGAAACTGTTGAAGATTCAGGCCCAGGGACAAATCAACTCCTCGCACTCGACGAGGAGGCGATCGTTGTTCCTTTTCCCAGAAAGCATCGGAATCGTAAACCTCCTGAGCCTCTAGACCCTGCGCCCTCCAATTACGAGACACTCCCCTCAGCTGATTGAGCGCTGGACTCATGCAACACACATCGCGGTGAAATCTCTGGAGCTACCCGACCGAAACTTGAGAAGGCTTGCGCAGGATTGTTTCAGAATCCGTTCTACGAATATTGCAGAGAGGATCTATGCCTTCGCCGCAGCGCTCTGAGATGGGGGATCGGCAGGCATCCCAAGGCCAGATGATGTTTCAGGGCGGTTTGGTGCAAACTGGCCTAATTCCCGCGGATCCTTCGGCCGTCGGCCCTATAAGTAGGAAGCGCCGGCCGAATCTGAACTCTGTCCGTCGAAACGCATCACACCCGCTTGCCGCAAAGTGACTTGTCCAACCAACCCTTCGTGTTGTATTCCACCTGTCCGGCATAGTGCTTGACGATGAAGCCCTGGCAGCATCGACGATGGCCACGTGCAGAGGAGAAGCGATTCGCGTTACGTCTGTGAGTGCTGCCAAACGCACTGCCGAGCACCGCCTTCCTATCAAAAGTCAAGACCCTTGATGCCTGCGAGACCAACACGATGAAAAAAACAAACAAACAAATCAAATGAGCCTTGTTCCACAATCCGGGTCGCATATTAGAACCCTGAGCCCTGGTGGCCTCATTCATGGCCAAGCCTGCTGAGCTTCCACGCTTGTTAGACATCCTCGAGCAGACCCAGGTATGCAGAGCTTGGGGATCCAAGGAGTGCAATTCCGGGATTCAGGGTTTACGGATTCAGGATGTGGGGCTTCGGGCTTTCGGTGGCCGAAACGTGATTCAGGACCGCTACTTGGGCAGGCTGTGGGCTTCTGCCATGATTGCGTGGTTCAATGATCGATGACTTTCGGGGACCTGCAAAGTCGCACAACAAGTAAAGTTAATCTGGGCTTGGTGTCCATGATCACACGGGGCCACTCGCAATCCGCGAGTCGTCTTAGAATTTCAGTCAACTCCCAGCAAGCCGGGTCGGGCCGGGCTCCAACGGGGTCGCAGATAGATTCATGAACCCATGCCATATTCACACCCCACCTCACGATGTGAAGGACGCAAGGGTGCATGACTCGAGGTCGCGCTCGCAAACTGGCTCAAATTCTGAGGAAACGCGGGGACAATGGAGCAAGCCTGGACGGATGCAGGGTTCGCATGCTTGCATGGACTCCTCTGTGCATCTCAAGGTCGCGACTCTGCATGCCTGCTGTTGTTGTGCTCGCTAATTTCTAGCTGGCCAAAAGTGTACTGGAGCTACACGACGGCGTGGTCCCGGCATCTACATCAAATTCTCGGAAAACAAGCATGTCAGGATCCTGTACTCTGCAGCACGAAACCATGGTCGCAGCTTTACGACGACTTCGCACATCGACCGAAATAGCACTATACCTATAGCCGTATAAACCAGATCTCGCTGTCCATTTAGAGCATACACGTTCAAACCATGTGCTGAAGTGCGAAAGCCAGGCCTGAAATTCTAAGCAAACCTAATGCCGAACTGCAATCAAATCCTTCCCAGCGCACAGTTCAGAAAGGGGGTTGCATGCATGAATGTAGTACCGTCCGGGATGCCAGTGTGGTAGAGTCACGTTTGAGGCATGGGTTTACCTTTTGCTTGCATGGGACCTGTTGTCAACAGCTGCTATGGATTGAGGATCTCTTCGAGGCTGCCGGGCATTGCGCATAGTAAGATAGCATGCTCTAACAACACTACTACATTATATCATGTTGTACTATTGTAAGACATCAGAGTGTGCTACATTCCGCTAGTTTGTCAACTTCGGATGGGATCCGGCTATCAACTCGCAAGCCTGAGACCCGGTGACCAAAGGCCGCTGAGAGGATACATCCTGGTCCTGGTATCATAATCATATGTATATACAACATAAGAATAAAAAAATATGTGTGTGCGTGTGTATATATATATGTATATATATATATATTCACATACATACATATCTCTCTCTCTCTATATATATATATGCATATATTTTCTATACAATATGTATGTATGTGTATATACATATATATATAT